AAAATTTTCAAGTTTTTTAAAAAATAAATACACTAATTCTCTTGCTTCATGCTTTTTTTTTAATTTGTAGCTTCAGTATGATTAATTTATTTTTTAAGTTTTTGCTGTAGGGCACGTGTACTTGCTGGAGAGAGACAGAGAGAGACAAAGACAAGAGAGAGGGAAAGTGAGAAATCATCCTCCCAGGAGGATGGCCATGCCCCAATCCCTTCTTCTCCATTCTCCTCTTGGGATTTTGGGTATGCATGCACATGCGGCCAAAGTAATTTTCAAGCCGCAAGGTCCAAATCAAGGCACCAGGTCCAAGACTTGAACCATAGTCAGCCTTGTGGGAGTCCAACACCTTAACCACCATCCTACCTGCTGACCCCATTTTTGTGCTTGTGCCTGATGCTGCTTATTTGTTAGTACTCAATACACAGTTACTGAATGAAGAGGTCTTGAATGAATCTGCACACACTCATGTGATTAATTGGATTAATATTTTTAAGTCTTGAATTTTGTAACATGAAATGAATTGAAGTGGTTGTGTCTTACTCATTTGATCATAAGTTTTGCATTGTGGTTTTGTTGTGGATATACTTATTTACTTTTTTTTTTGGAGAGATTTTCACTATAGGGCGCATGCGCTTGCCAGACAGAGAGAGAGAGACATAGAGACAGAAAGTGAGAAATCACCCCCCGGGGGGATGGTCACGCCACAATCCCTTCTCCTCCATTCTCTTCTCGGGATCTTGGGCATGCATGCACACGCGCCTGGAGTGAGTTTTAAGCCACCAGGTCCGGGATGTGAACTGCAGTCGACTATGTGGGAGTCCAGCGACATAGCCATTACGCTAACTGCTGGTTCCCATTTATTTACTTTTTTGTTGAAGTTTATTTGTTTATTTCTTCTGTGAGAGAGAGAGAAACCCAGCACTCTCAGTGGGGTCCTGATGCTGAGTCACCCCCAGCTTCAGCAGCCCTGGGTCATGGGCACATGCATGTCCATTGTACTCAGAGAGGTCCCTGGATGGGAACTGGTGATGTTTTTGTGTAGGTCTACCTAGCAAACTGAGATTTTTCCTTTGAGCCACTGTGCAGCCCTTTCACTAACTTCTATCCTTTCCTAAGTATGGAGCAGAGAGTGGGAGAAGGGGTATATTCTCACAGGAGAGAATCAAATGATAACCCCAAGAATTATAATGTGCCAATGGAATGTCATTGTTAGGAGCATGGTAATATGTATCCTAGTAGTATTTTTGTATTGCAGAAGTCTGCATGCTGTCATAGAACTAACCTTTGGGTGTTTAGCATTAAACTTGCACACTTTTTTTTTTTTTTTCCCCTGCATCTGACTTCTGCATTTCATTCCAGATATGGGTGAAATTATTTCACAAGTTGCTGGCTTTTCAAAGTAGAAAGATGCACTTGTGGGGTTTCCTTTAAAAACAGCCTCTTCAAAGGTGGCTGAGGCTCATTCAGCTCCTTCAGGGAAGCAGATCTGAGGAGCCAGGTCAGCTGAGGTTGGAGGTGTGCTTGCAGGTCTCTTCGTTTTAAGCATTCCAAGAATGCAGTGTCTGGTGCTTCAAAGTTGCATAATAAAATCTTTGGCACTGAGGTGTTCCACTTGACTTTGTAGTGTGGCCTCTCAGGGTCAGGCTGTTTTTCTGAGGGACTGGGAGGAGGTCTGGTTCATTGTGCCAGGCTACAGGGAGGATAGGGTGGAGTTCAAAGGCCTTGGGCATCTGAGAGGGCAAACTCTCCATCCACCTTGCAGATCCTGCCTCCACACTGGAACCTCTTGGGGGCTTTTGAGAAAGACTGACAGTGCCTAGTCCACTCCAGAACTGTAGAACTGCAGTCTGGTATTTGAAGCCAGCCAGTAGTATTTTTTAAAAAGCTCTCTGAGTTATTTTAATGTGCTTTTTGTAGCACACCCTGGCCTCCAGCAGTTCACTCCCACAGTAGGAAGGAAGGGGAGGGTGAGTGCCCAGTGGAATCTGTGGACAGCATCTTGCAGTCCCCAGGAGGCTTGAAGAGCAGGGCCACTTCC